GGTTCCTAAGTATGCAAATGGTCCCCAGGAAGGTAGTGCCTGGATGAAGTAGGTAGGCATCATGCTAGACCCAACAACATAATAGGGAAACATGGTATCTGGATACAGGTAAGTGGGCGGGGTTGGGAGTGTGCAGGGGGTGCCTGGAGGACAGTCTAGGAGAGCGTCCGAGTTCTGGGGAGGAAGAAGGCGGCAGCGCTGGGCCTGGGTTTCCCCACACACACACACTGGCTTCTCACAGCACCGAGCAGGCCCACCTGCGAGGGAGGATGACCACATCACTCTCTAGTCTATCTAGGTTAACAGCCTCACCTCTGAAAAACAGGCTGGTTGTGACCAGAAGAGCAAGACCTTCATGTCCTATAAAAGCAAAGGCAGATTAAAATATCATGAAACAGGCCGGGGATTCTAGAAATAAAAAGCCTATTTCTTGTTGCCCTGAATCTGTTACTTACTTATAGAGGTGGACCATGAGTGGAATTTGAAGGAATCTAGAACATAAAAATAAACTACTAAAAAAGAAAAGAAAAGAAAGGAACTAAAGAGAATTCTGAGTTATATGAAGGGAACAAAAGAATATCCATGTTGCCCAGCTGGCGTGGCTCAGTGGTTGAGCGTCGACCCATGCACCAAGAGGTCGCCGGTCAGGGCACATGCCCAGGTGGTGGGCCAAATCCCCAGTGCGGGGCATGCAGGAGGCGGCCAGTTGATGTCCTCTCTCATCGATGTTTCCATCTCTCTCCCTCTCCCTTCCTCTCTCTCTAAAATCAATAAAGAAAAAAATAATAAAAAAGACTATCCATGTTGTCAGGAACCGAATTTGTTTAAACACAATATATCAAAGAAAGAGTAATCGCTAATGGATGCAGGCATGTGTGTATACGTCTTCATATAGGTATACATCTGTACATATACATATATGTATATGTGTGTGGGGGGGAGAGAGGGAGGAGAGGGTGCGAGTGGGAGGGGAGGGAGGAGATGAGAAGAGAAATTGAGAAGTGAAAGCCAATGGCTCAGAGAGAAGTTTGTATCATGAACTTGAAAATGAAACTGGAGCTGTGCCTGGAATGAAGATGAAACATTCTAACTTGATTAGGCTTTCCTCCAGTTGGAATCGTCACGGTGAGAATTTGCAGCACAGAGATACTTCCTTTGGGTGCCTGTGCCTCAGAGATATTTCAACTCAGGCCTCATGTATCCCTCTGGAGCCCCCTCCCAGTCTGACCCTGGAAATGCTGAATACCTCACTCATCTCCTCACGAATCTGAGGCTGTTTTATCCCCAGACTTGGCATGCTGTCCGTAACTCAAAGGTCTTTAGTCTTCCCTAAAGCTAGCTTTTTTCCTCACAAGAGTGAAGAAGGAGAACTATGCTTTCTGAAAAACCTGCATGTGGGGACCTTGGTCTGAACCCTTTAAAATCATCAAATGGATTCAGAGTGGTGAAATACTTATCTAGGTTCTTTTGAGTCACATATATTTTCAATTTCTTTGCACACAATTACTTGTATTCTTCTTCTTTTTTTTTTTTTTTTATCCTCACCCGAGGACATTTTTCCATTTTTTGTTCAGATAGAGTGGGAGAGAGAGGGAGGAAGAGAGAGAGAGAGAAACATCGACGTAAAAGGGACACATCGAGTGGTTGCCACCCGCACGACCCATCCAGAGCCGGGGACAAACTGCAACCGAGGTACATGCCCTTAGCGGGAACTGAACCCGGGTCTCTCTGGATTGTAGGCTGACGCTCTAACTGCTGAGCCAAACTGGCCAGGGCCAATTATTTGTATTCTTAATTTTACAAGCAATACTGAGAGCTAATCTGTGTATCATGCAATAGTCTCTATTTTATCATCTGAGTGAGCTTTATAAAAACCACATCTGTCTCAAATTATTTCTAAAACTGCATTGGAAAACTCTTTGCAAGACTGCCACTGTCTTTGGGTTGAAATTCAAACAGGGTTATTATAACATAGAAGCTAACAGCCCAAACCCTTGCGTCAGACTGGCAAGCTTCAGTTCCAGGTTCTAATGCTTTCTCGCCTGTCTGCATTTCAGTTTCCTCATCTGGCAAATGAGGATAATGAGATCACCCTCCTCATACAGTTGTCAAGAACATTAAAGAAGATAATTTACCTTAAGCCTTAAATTCAAAAGTTCCCTGGCACACAGCAAGTATTTGACGACTGCCAACTAATATTTTCATTGACACAGAATGCAAGGCCCGTTGTGGTAGCACTTACTCGACTTTTAATTTACTATGTGTTAGGAACATGGCTAGATTTCTCCATATGTGATTTTGTCCAATATTTACAACAATCCTATTGGCTAGATGTAATCCTTGCTTTCAGGCATATCTAGTAGTTACTTCATCATCAACACCATCACCATAATCATCATAATCATATTTTTCTTCATTTATTGTCATTCCAATTTTATAGAGAAAGTAATCCCTTCACGAGGACTTGAATAGTTCAAATGAAGGACATCAGTCTAGGAGGAGAGAGAGGCTTGGCAGCAGACAGCCATTCAGTTTTCTTCTTCTAGTTCCAACTTCTTGAGACAGAGCAGCACTGAAATTTTTCTGAATTTGTCCTGTTTCATTATAATGCAATGCCTATTTTGGCTAAAGCTATTTTTTCCTTGTAAACTAAAAAGTCCTAAGTGTTACTGTGTGAGAGAATACTAAAGGATTCAGGCCTCAGATGACGTGATGGGTCGTCTTTGAATATAGAACTGGGTTTGTTGTGGGGAGGGCAAGAGACAGAGATACCAGCCAGTTCTGCTATCAAAGGGTCAAGTGACAGCCTGTTTTGAACCTCAGTAGATCCTCTTCATCTTTCCCTCAGTGCAACAGCTGTCTGTTCACTTTGTATTCACTCATCTGAGCGTTGCTAGTGAAAGGACCCTACCCAATATTGAAATGTTACTCAAAGTGACCTCCAGCCTCTACTTCTAGACAACTTTTATTTCTCTCTCCCTGGGCATTTTTCTACATGACCAGTTCACATGCCTAACAGGTAGAAAGCTCGCTGCTGATAAGACGAATGTTGAGATGAATACACAGAATTGATAAGATCTCAGAGAGAATCACGATAAAGCAAGAATATGCCCAGGACACCCCCGGGCCAGAGGCTGTTCTCAAGGTTGGCAGAGATAATGAACACTGTAACTGTAAATGAGATCTCTCAGTAGTACCAAACTCACGTTCCTCACGACGAATTCCAATTACACACACTTTGTTCTGCTAGGTCCCATATAAAGTGTACTCAAATATTGTCAGGAAAAGAGTTAAAGATCTAGCCCTGGCCAGTTTGGCTCAGTGGTTAGAGCATCGGCCTGCGATCCAGAGAGACCTGGGTTCGGTTCCCGCTAAGGGCATGTACCTTGGTTGCAATTTGTCCCCAGCCCTGGTTGGTCGTGCGGGTGGCAACCCCTCGATGTGTCTCTTTCACGTTGATGTTTCTCTCTCTCTTCCTCTCTCTCCCTCCCACTCTATCTGAACAAAAAATGGAAAAATGTCCTCAGGTGAGGATAAAAAAAAGAGTTAAAGATCTAAACTTTTATATGGAAAGTCATATTCTAAACTGGATACTAGTTTCTTAAATAATTGTTATTGACTCAAAATTAAGCCATGCTTTTTTGTCCCTTCCCTTTCTCTCGTGTCTCTCATTTTATTTGATTTTATCTCATCCATTCCTCTAGCTTCCGAATCTATATATATATGTATGCGTGTGTGTGTTCTGAAAACTCCAAATGAGCAAAATTAATTCAATAAAATTGTTCAATTCTGAAGGTGAAAAATCTTAGACTTAAACTATGTGATGCTGAAAACAATGGAGCTATTTAATTACATAGATACAAGTAGGCTAACAGAGCCAGTTGTAAGGTTCTCATTTTTAACACAAACCATGCCTGACCAGAGATGTGGCAATAGCTTCATCCCAGCTGTGTGTCCTTCGAGTATAAGACTATGCAGAGATGTTCTCACGCATCCCAGGATCTCAGCACATATAAATCCATGAGTCACTCTTGTAAAACAGAAAATCTACTTGATGAGATCCAGAGTATCAATGGCTGTATTTTAAATAAAAACTCTGGAAGTGAATAAAATGGGATAAAATACTAGCAATGAATATTTAACTATAGAACTAAAGTTAACCATCTGTAGGAGCTAGGGTTATAGGACAGAGTTTATGTTATAATTATACAACCTTTTAATATAATGATATAAATATCAAAAGAATGGGGTAAAAGAAAGGAAGAAGGAATAAATATAATTATACTAATTTCTCACCTACCACAGATGGCAGTGAACAGAAATTCTGAAAGTAAAAAAATACTTTCAAAAATATGACTAACATCTCAACTTTTAATGCACATGTAATAAACAGGAATATATTTTAGGAAATATCTCTTGTGATATAAAAAGATTTAAAATACAACAATTCTCTTCAAGTACTTTATTTTTTAAAATAATCTTTTTTTCTTCAGATTAACTTTAGATTTATAGAAAAATAGTGAAGATAGTACAGAGAGTTTCGTCTACCCCCACATTATTAATATCTTACATTAGATTGGTCCCTTTGTCAATATTGATACATTCTAATGAACTAAAGTTCATACTTCAGTTTCTTAATTTTTACCTAATCTCTTTCTATTTCAGGATGCTGTCCAGGACGTCACATTACATTTGCTGAACATGTTTCCTTACGCTCTTGGCCATGAGAGTCCTCCAACTCTCCTTAATTTTGATGACCTTGACAGTTTTGATGACCTTGACAGTTTTGATAAGGACAAGTTAGCCATTTCATAGAGTGCCTACCAACTGGATTTATTCGATGTATTTTTTTTTTTATCCTCACCCAAGGACATGCTTGCATTTATCTTCAGATAGAGCGGGAGAGAGAGAGGGAGGAAGAGAGAGAGAGAAACATCGATGTGAGAGAGACACATTGAGTGGCTGCCACCCACACGACCCCAACCGGGGCCGGAGACAACTGCAACCGAGGTACCGGCCCTTAGTGGGAACCGAACCCGGGATTCTCTGGTGCGTGGGCCGATGCTCTAACTGCTGAGCCAAACCGGCCAGGGCTATTCGATATATTTTCATGCTTAGACCAGGGTAACGAGTTTTGGGAAGGAAGATCACAAAGGTAAAGTGCCATTTTCATCCCATTATTTCCAGGGCCCATACTGTCAACATGATTGATCAATATTAACCTTGATCACCTGGCTGGTTGTTTGACAGGTTTCTCCACTTTATTCTTTTCCCACTTTTCATTCTTTCTTTCTTTATTTTTTAATCCTCACCTGAGGACACTTTTTGATATTTTGTTCAGATAGAGTAGGAGGAAGAGAGAGAGAGAGAAACATCGACGTGAAAGGGACACATCGAGTGGTCGCCACCCACAGGACGCAATCAGGGCTGGGGACAAACTGCAACTGAGGCACACACCCTTAGTGGGAACCGAACCCGGGTCTCTCCAGACCGCAGGCCAACGCTCTAACCGCTGAGCCAAACCGGCTAGGGCCCACTTTTCATTCTTTACTCTCAGAGCAAAGTCTCTACACCCAGCCTGCACCTAAGCAGGAGTTACACTTCACGTTTTTGAGGGTGAAGTGTACACATTAATACATTAATTGTTTGGAATCCTTCTGAAGAGGAGGTTTGTCTATTCCGTGATTTGGTTATTATCAGCATGGTTGATGGATATTTGTTTTATAATTTGTGTTATAATCCAATACTACTTTACTTAATTGGTTGCTCAAGTCATTTCAGCTTATGTAATCGGCACACTGTCAGTTGGCTCCTGTAACCCTTTCACGTATCCCCGTCATCGTGGGGTTGTTTGTGAGCACTTTGCGACCCCCTGGCACTACAGCATGCTCCAGGGTCACCTTCCGTACTTCCTGCTCCAGACCTGCTTCCTGCATTAGAGGATCCTGTTAGGAAACACGACCTGGCTTCCAGCTGCGCTTGCTGCAGCTGGAATGTCCTTGCTCCTCGGCCTTCTCAGCTCACAGGGTCAGGGAATATCTGTGTGTATACTAAGCCATTTGCTATATTTAATTTTTATATGTTAAAATAAAAATAAATTGAATACATTTCATTAAGAAAATATGCATAAATCAGCCCACATATCTTAACATTTTTGATCTACCTACCTATCATCTATCTATCTATCTATCTATCTATCTATCTATCTATCATCTATCTATCTATCTATCTATCTACCTGCATCACCCCTCATTTGATGGTGCTTTGCTTTATTGTGCTTCACAGATGTTGCATTTCTTACAAATTGAAGGCAAAACCCTCCACCTGCAGAATCACTAAGGCTCACTTTATTGTGATACTCACTTTATTGCTGTGGTCTGGAACCAAACCTGCAATATCTCCAAGGTATGCTGGTATCTGTTGATCCCTTTATCTGTACATATGTATACAAATAATTCTGGAATGATATATTTCTAATATGACTAAGCATTATTTTTGGGTGATGAGATAATGTCTGTTATTTTACTTTCTTCTTTGTAATTCTACTGAGTGCAAACAATTATCTAGTTGGTCAAAATGAGCTTATCATCCACAGGGTAATATATGAGTGATCTATTCTGCTAATAGGTCCCAGGATCCCTGCCCTAGTCCTCCCTGGCTCATCTCTGAGCCTGTTCTGCCCCTAAATCTTACTGGCCAGAACTCCTCCTATGTATACATGTGGATTGGGAAATAAAATAAATTATCTGTTTTAATTAAAATGGCAACAACAATATTGTACGTATTATCAAGAAAGATATTTTGGCTTAAAATTTTCCTTCTGGGGCCCCTCCTAGGAGGAATTATTATGGGATGTTCTGCATTCTAAAGGCTGTTTGTTTTCAGTACATTTTTAGTGGAATATTTTTCACCCTTCTGAGTAGGGCAGACAAAGGCTTTAATTAAACAAATGTCACATGGGAACTGTTGCCCCCAAAGCCTTTATTGGCCCTAATTAGCAGATGCAGCTGTAGACTCTATCAATATTAGATGATCTGTTTATTGTGTCCATTTATAGCCCACTCATCAGGGAGCATGTGGAAAGCACCCCAGAATTATCAGCCTTAATTAAAACTTGCTCAATTTTGCTGGAGAAAACATCCCATGCAAAAATGGGTCAGGTAAAAGAGGAAGATAGGGAAAGGGAAAAAAAAAAGAAGAAGCATACTGGAAATATTACCAAGGCTTCCTTGGGAAAATGAAAGGAGGCTATTGGATGATCTGCTTGTCTGCAACCGCCTGAGAAGCACAGGCATGTCAGGGCCAGGCTGAACTGTACCGATAGGGAAACCACGGGGCAGAATGTTTCCCTCCCTGCCCAGGCTCCACTGGGTCTCCTTCTGAGTAGCCTGGGAAGGAGGAGGGGCACATTCATCTAGGTATATTCACTGATATCATCATTTAAGGAATTATATAACACTATATCTGGAAACCCCCTGGGAGGTTATTTTATGTATCTCAAATACAATATTTAGCACAATTATTATGACCTATTCAATTTTTGCTGTACTTTTATGTATTTTGCATCTTCTAGATAAAATATCTGAGGCTGAAAAGTATTAAGCCCTTTCCAAATGTCATAGAGTTAGTCCATGATAGAGCCAGGATCTAAACTTCTCTCTGATCCCAAAGCCCAGACGCCTTTCTCTGTACTACAGGACTTCTCCTATAATAGTTAGAAAAATTTAATATTTTGGCCAATAACTTGTCAACGTGGATAAATGAGTTGTAGCCTTGAAGACCAAAGGCTTGAGTTTAAGCCCTTTTCTAGTTTCTTAACTTCTCTAAGCCTCAGGTTCTTCATTCATTAGATCAGGATAATAAATACTTCTTGAAAACTGGATTATAGGAGATAAACTTTGTGCAAAGATTTTGGCTTGTGGGAAACGCTTGATAAATATTATTTTACATCTTGTTATTACTTAGAGTCCACCAGGACCATATTTGGAAGTCGCTTTGAGACAGAGTTCTTCACATCTCTTTGGAGGGCCATTGGGCTTGCTAACCCCGGGGCCCTTCGAGGGGTAGGATGCATTGTCCTTCACCCTTAGTGCTCCACAGAATATAAGCGTCCTTCATTTGTTCTCCTTCCCCGGGAAACAACTGTCTGAGGTGTGTCTCTTCAGTACAAAAATGGCAAAATTGGAAAGAAACGGCGATCAGGCATTAATGGGAAAGCTGTAACAGTTTAGAACAGAGTGCTCAAAATCTTCCAATGAAGCCCCCTTAAAGGCACAACTTGTGTCTCTGTGTGCTTCGATGCTCTAATAAGTCGAAATGCTCCTTTACATCTATAAAAGATACAATGCAATCTTATAATCCTGAGTACATATGCTTTCTTAATTGAAAATCATTGAATTATTAAGTCTACTCCCCCCACCTTTGAAGTCATTCAGTATTTATTTTGCAGCCTCCTGTCTCCCTGCAACATCCCTGAGAACTCCTGGGGAATTTGATACTCCAGCCTAACAACTCACCTCTAGAAAGTATTTCAGCCTAGGTAGAAATAAGCCAAATAATGATTTTTGCTCTCTCGAAATTATTTCTGAGGTGATTGTCATGAAAATAAGTTCCTTTTTGGCAGTAGACCTAGCATTCTGATAGTGGTCCTTAGGAGGCCCATTATTTCCAGATGAGGACAGCAGAGAGGCAAGAGAAAAATAAGTTAGGTTCTACACAAACTATGCATTTTTCTACAAATGACACTGTTTGTATATTAGAATATTAAACATCAACTACCTCAGTTAACTGACTGTTCAAAGGGAAGCAAGGTTTAATGACACATAATGGCACATCACAGCCAGGGGTCTCCCAGTTTTATAGCCTATTCCATTGGCAGGTTAACTTTAAAGTGGATCCCATGGTCCATGGCTCAGATCTCGATTCAGACCTGAAGCTCTCAGTTCGCCAGTCTCCCCAGCTGCACTGAGTGTTGCCTCGTTAGGGCTGTCGGGCTGTCAGCTAAGTCCCGCCCCAGTAATTGCCCTCTAAGGGCACCACCTGGCCCAAGGTTAGGCCTGCGCCCCTTGCCACAATCCAGAACACCCCTGAAGGGCCATCCCAGCTCCAGAGCTTCCAGACCGATCGGTTCTATTATTACTGCATCACAAGTCAAATTTTCTTCTTATGCAGCCCAGCTTCCCTCATCCCTTTGCAGGTGCGGTTCCTGCAAACACATGTTCCCCGGGGAACCCAGCCTAGGACAGCTTCTCACACTAGCAAGTTAATGCCTTCAATTCTGCCTCCACAGTGAGTCCCAAGTTTCGCTAGACACTGTATGTGAATTCAGATGTGAAGATAAAATAACAACTATGTGAATCTGAAACACCACTGGTATGTGTGTAGGTAACTGTAGTCAGCAAAGTGTCATTTCTAATTCAGTTAGTTTCAGTGAGAGCATCTACTATGCTTCAGGCACTAAGCTGCTTGAATAGACATAGTGATCTTATTTGCTTTTCACAACAACCACACGGTAGAAGTATGATTATGCATGGTTAGGAAGTGAAGAAATGGAGTTTCAATCACTTGGTGAAAGTAATAATGTTACTACATTGTGAAGTCAGACATCGAACCCAGATCCTCTTTCTCCAGTGTTAGTAGCTGTGAACTTTGTGCTGTTCACGGATATTTCCGACTGTCTGTCTCTGATCAGCTGGCAGATCTGTACTTCCCTCCCCTGCTCATGCCACCTGCTGTGGCTCTAAGGAAATGGCAGGAGAGCTGGTAACTTTTTGCTCTACTTCCCTCCCCTGCCACAGGGAGCAGCGACCTACCAGATTGCAGTGGCTCTGCCAGTGTGTCCTGAATGAAGACAACATGAACAGAACCCCTGGCACAACTCAAGATGGGCAGGAGGGTAAGTAGAAATGAATCTGAGTTGTTTTACGTCACTGCTCTCCGGGGCTTGCTTGTTATCAACTCACAATCTAACTTACATGATTAATAAATAGATTATGACTGAAGAACAGGTTGTTTTTATTTTTATTAAATTTTTTTTAATCTTCATTAAATTTCTTTTTTAATTGAGAGCAGGAAGGAGAGGGGGGGGGGGAGAGAGAGAGACACACATCAATATGAGAGTAAAACATCAATCGGCTGCCTTCTGCACGCCCCTGCTGAGGATCCAGTTGGCAACCGGTCATCAGGCTGTTTTTTTAACTAAGATATATTAATAGAGAGTTGCCATTTGTGCTAGAACTGAAATGTCCTTAACATTAGAATTTATTTTATAATGTAATGTAATTGAAAGAGTTTTGGGTTTACAGCCATGTAGACATAAATGAATTTGAATCTGTGATCTTACATATTTGCTTAATCTTTGGGTTTATTTTTTATTTTATTTTTTATCCTCACCTGAGGACACTTTTGCATTTATCTTCAGATAGAGCAGGAGGGAGAAAGGGAGGAAGAGAGAGAGAGAAACATCGAAGTGAGAGAGACACTTTCAGTGACCCACACGACCCCAACTGGGGCTGAGGACAAACTGCAACCGAGGTTCGTGCCCTTAGCAGGAACCGAACCTGGGCCTCTCTGGTCTGCAGGCCGATGCTCTAACTGTTGAGCCAAACTGCCCAGGGCCGATCTTAGGTTTTAATTTCTCACTCTCAACCCCCATTTACTCACCTGTAAAGTGAAGCTAATAATAATTTTGTTACAGTGCTGATGGGATGGTTTGATAAAATAAGGCCTGCAAAGCTTTTAGTGATTGCCTGACACATAGATGATACCAAATAAGTGTTTTACCGAAAGTGGTCCTCTAACCCGCTGGATCTGAAAGTCATTAAAAATACAGATTTCTGAGGCCCATACCAGGCCTATTGAATTAGAATCTCAGGATGTGACCTACATTTTCAACAAACTCTTTTAGCAATTCTTCACTGAAATTGAAAGTTATTGTACTAAACAAAGGTTAAATATTCTGTCACATAAATATGGTTCAGACAGCCAAAAGCCTTCAGTGAGATTCTTGAAATGATTTTAGGGCTATCAAGGGGACTCACCCACTGCACCATAAATGCATCAAAGTGAGCTCAACAGAGGGTACTGGAAATGCGACGCACACTTCAAAGCATTAACATCTAAAAGAAAAGCTTCTGTGAATTCTCTGTCTCTGAGTATCACATGACCAGGATAGTCTGACAGTGGTGATCTTAGCTGATGAGAATTGGGGTGAGGGATGAGCATCTGGGACTTGAAGACCAGTGAAACCGGGCCTGTGAAATGAGGCAAGGATACGTCCATTAGAAACTCCTCGAGTGAACAGTTACAACTCCTGAAATGTGCTGGTGGCATGCTAGGCCAGAACTTTTTGTTTTTGTTGCTTTTGGCAACAGAGACACCTTTGATGGTGCCTGCTGGTGCCTTTAAGTCTTGATGAGTAACTTCGGAGCTTTGTGTTGCCTTCCCAGGCCCCTTACCACCGAGTCGGTCCTCTCTTCCTGTGTTTGTGTTTACATACATCTATGACTCTATAGGCCAAAAATAAAAACAAAAAATAAGGAAAGTTGAAAATAACCAAGTGGGAAGAAATGACTCCATTTCCAGGGAAGCAATTAGGCTTTCTTGTTCAAAAACAGGAAAGTAAAGAACACTTTCGACTTTCAGTTTTGTAGATTAAGGGTGGGGAGAGGGAACCCATACCCACTAGGATCTTGCAATAAAGGGCAGGGGAGTACAGGCCAGAGCTGGACACTGTGGCCCAAGACCACTGTGTTTAGACATAGGTCAATTTTGAGGGCCTGGAGTCCCCTAAGAGCCACCCTTTTGGACAGAGAGCTGGACAAGGATACTTCACTACAGCTTGGAGCAGAAGAGGTAGGGGGACCACTGCTCCTTCAAGGCATCAAAGAGCCTCCAGGAGAAAGACAGCAGACACACACAGTGATCTTGCTTCCTCCTGCTCAAGATTGTGAGGCCCCACAAACCCCACTTCAGGTCTGTGTGCACCCCACTGCCCTCCTGCCTTGCCAGTGTTCTTGTAACGTACAAGAGAAGAGAGAAAGGAACTCCCAGCAGCAGTCCCCCAAATAACTGACATTGGGTTTCCCACTAATTAGGGTGGGTGGAAGAGTCTTTAGTGAATTTTAAATAAAATCAAGCAATTTAAATACAGGTGATCTTTACACTGGGAATATTGAGAAGTTTGGAGTTGCATTCTAATCTCATCACATTTACCTATGCTGGCAGACCCCCATGCTCTGAATTCTGCCAGACGCTGAAACAGAAGACAGCAGGTCCTAGAATAACGTTGTTCTGTTCAGTGAGTTTTGTTACAATATTGATCAGGTGCTTAGGAAATTGAGTCTTGTTTACATTAATTAACCTATGATAGAATTTCTTTCATGATACATTGTTTCCCTCAAAGTCTCAGAACTATCCACGACTTGAAGTGTAGCTGTTCTGTGTAAATATAAGGCAAGACTGTTCCATTCTGACTTCACATTGCTTGGGGCAGTAAATTGCTCTGGTCATCATTTCTCCAACCCTAGAGAAGGTAGAAAGTAGGACTTCGGCTTAGATTTGTCTTCACTTCCTTTCTCCTAGTGTTTTTTGGGGGGTGAAATCCAAGCCACAGAGAAGTCTTCCATGGCTTTTACCACAGGGAGTAAACTGGATTCTCATGACCTACCTCCTGGAGCAGAGGCTGTGGTTTTTCCTATTCTTCATCCTCACCCCACCCGGACACTCTGCTTTCTATTACATGCCTCTGCAGCTCTACCAGAAGGCGCTGAGATTCCGCTGAGGACATTCTCTAGGCTCCAGACCCCAGCAGGCTAGAAGTGCCAGGAGATAATGCACAAGGAAGCAGCCTTAAGCCAAAAACAAATGGGAATGAGTGGATACTTATACATCTTCCCTATCTGTTAGGATGGGAAGTGAATAACTCTGTGTCATGTGCTACATTGTCTCTGGGATTGAGCCCTAGTTGCCCTCAATATTAACTTGCTTGATATTGTAAACTTGACTGGCTCATTTCCATTTCCTGTTTCCTGGCTCCACTTTTCTTTTGGTGATTCCTTAGATCGCCTCCCAAATATCCTATCTGCACACAAATATTTGTCTCAGTGACATCTTTGGGGAATATCCAACCAAACACATCTTGGAATAGGAAAGGAATGCAATAAATACTTAACAAGTGACTAGGATGCACATTTAAAAATAATTAATATAGCTGTATGATGATTTTGGTGGTCCCCCCCAAGGAGGCTGCCAGCCCTCCTCCAAGAAAACCCTCACTTGGAGACGTGTATTGTCTTGCTGAACTTCCCCCAACCTGAGGCCTTGCTGAGCTTGTCGGCACAAAGAGCAGATGTATCTCTTGGGCAGGGTCATGTCTACAAAGCTCATAGAACTGAGATGCAAAACTCAAATGCCAGTTTATGAATTTACCATAGGAAGTAGTGACCACAGGGACTGGAGGACTCGATCTCCAGGTGACCACTGTGCACTGTTGCTGGAGGCTGAGCTCCGTGGAATTCCACGTAAACAGCAGAGGGGGCATGAGTAGCATGCAATTGCTGTAAGGGAAGCCAGAGGCACCGAAAGCATTAAACACCCTGATACCCACATCTGCAAATAAGGGCAAGAGTGCCTTTGAAAATAGAATCTAACACTGCTTGGCACAGAATCCCTGCAACCTTCCACACTGGAGATCCCTTCTTGAATGGGACTTGGAGATTATTGGCTGGGGAAGTGCTTCCTGTGGAAGGCCGCCGGGATCCCCACTCCCTCCTTCCGAGCCTCACATTTGCACATTCTTTCTTTAAATGTTAACACATTCAATCAGACTCAACCCAATTCTGCTGAACTGTGAATTATTCAGACTTGTTCATTGATTTTGCATATGTCAGCCTTAATTTTAATTTCCAAGGGGCAGACTCATTTCCCTGGTTTTTAGTTTTGGAAGGGCTAACAAACTGCAGTGCTAATGGCACCTACATATCCAAGGTGCATTTTATTTGTTCTCACAACCAATCTTCGAAGTAGATGTCATTATTCTCATTTACTCATAAGGAAACAGAGGTCCTGGTAGGCCAAGTTATTGTCCAAGGATGAACTGCCATTCAGGCCTGGGTTTGTCTAAGGTTATATAACTCCTGCTCCTTCTTCTCTGTGATGCCACCCAAAGTTATGAGTGGTATCAGGTTTCAATTTAGAAGATTTGGTTTGAAGAAAAGCTTTAACTACTAGAACAAACTTTGACAACTCCTAAGGGTCCATCTACTTCTATGCACCTGCTTTGTTAACTCTCAGAATGAAGACCCTTTTCTAAATAATTCTGACAAAAAAGTATGGCTCTTGGTTACTCGGGGAGGAGACATTGTGCCAGAGTTGTTTCTATAATCGCTTCACTTTTTTCCTTCACTGACCTCAGGATCATGTTATTCATTCCTGTTGCTCACCAAGTCTCTTTACTAATGCACATTCCATCTGGTATCGATGTTTCACACAGAATGAGAGAAGCTTTCTAAGGATCGTAAAAGATCTAATTACCTTTATTGACCCTGCCCAGAAGCAACAACACATAGTGCTGTAATTAACTGAGTTTGGCTATAACTGGGAAACATGGGTGATTTTTATTACACAAAAAGAAAGGCAAGCTCACTAAGCTGATGGGTAGCTTACTTAGCATCCTGAAATTTGTTCAGTGTGTCTGTATCTTTCTTTCTTCATTTTATTTTATTTTTTCCACCTCCATTTATCCCCCCATACCTCTTCCACCTCCACCAGCCCTGAAATCACCACCACCTGTTGTCAGTGTCAATGAGTTCTTTCTCACTCTCTTATTAAATTTTTAAAAAATTGTTTTCTTTATTGATTTTAGAAAGAGAGGAAGGGAGAGGGAGAGATAGATAG